ACCCATTTGACCTGACAATCTATCCAATGTGCTCAAGATATAGGTATCAAGAAATATTGCTACATTATATGCACTCATATATAAAAATATTGGAAGAAGTGCACGCCCACAGTCCCCCGGATTCGAAATATATGGGCGGATATTATTGATCTTTTTGGAATATTAGTCTAATTGCAGGACCAGAAATCATCAGTACGTTGGAGCAATATTAGGATTGATATATGAGATCTATTATTAGATTATTTCGAGTATTCTATTATCGAAACTCGGGAAAAGATTATCTGGATATTATTATCACGGAATTTTCGATAGAGGAGCTATTATTATCTAGATATAAGAGAAGAAATCTTGCCTGGGCGAGACCGTAATGGGGCTGCTGACGGAGATACAATACGTTGCTAGGATATTGATGATAGCGCAAAATACGATAATATCGAATCTCTAGATATTGAATTCTAAAAATCGAATTCTAAGATATTTATATTATTCTCATAAATTCATTTCATATAATTTCTGATATTTTCGAAATTCCAAATATCCAGTCATTATAATATTTTTCAGATTTTCAGCTCATAGAATTTTTGAAAATATATGATAAACGATATTTCTCTTTCAGAATATCCTAGAAATTATGAGAACCTTAATCGATGAAATATCCTAGATATTTTGAAAGAATGATATTTATAAAAAGAAAATATTAGAAAGGATCCGTTATTCATAGCAGCGGAGCATCGTCGTTGGAATGTATTCGTAACGGCAAGCGAGCTGATGCGGAAAAAAACAAATCCTGAATAAGCCTCGATATTTTGAAATTGAAGGCTATCAAGCTAGCAGCAGTTGAGGGAATTACGTATTTGGGGATATTGCCATGGCTCTCAAAATACTCCTCCAAGAAGCAGGTGTCCATCTCGAGGCATTCCTGAAGGGGCGGGGTTATATATTGGAATCTAAGGATTTGAAGGATATTTCAGAATCTGATAATTTCTTTTTTCCTGGCAATCTGATGCGAATAACTTCTATTATCTATTTTATACGTATCTTTATATAATTTCCTCTATGGATATATGAAGATCTAATTTCAATTCGAAATCCGAATCGTGATCTGGAGCTGCTTCCTTTGAGGATAGAATTGGGAGGCTCTATTCCCTTGATATTTCATGAAGCTCCGTCTAGAAGTTGTTTATCTTGCGGGAGAATATCATCAGATCCTTCTATAAGAATCTAAATGGCAAATGATGATCTTGCTAGTCGTGAAAATTTTTATCGTTGATAGAAAATGGAGATATAAATCTAGCACGGAGGTCTCGCAGAGTTGAGTCTCATTGGCGGTCGATGTTATCTCGTTTTGTGTCTGCGGGATTTTGGGTCCCTGGGCGTTCGGCGGATGGCGGCGGGCCCGAAATCGTCCGCGCCTCTTGATTCTTGATTTCTTCATCGATCTCTTTGAATATATAGTCATAGATAAGATTGGAATTCCCTTATTTCTCCTTTCTAGATCTCATTCGATTTGCTGATCTATAGATTCTGAATGATTTTAGCTCTCCATCTCGGATCTATATTTTCCGCCGAGCCGTTGCGCAGATAGCCAAAGAGAAAGAAATGATTCGAAATCTCGGGAGCTAGTTATTGCGTAACGGATCGGAGGAGCGCAGAAATATCCGTAGACCTATGCGGGTCAATCTATAGATTCTGAAAGATTTGATTTCTCCGTCCCGGGTCTATACGTTCCGCCGACCAGCCGCGCATTTAGCCAAAGAGAAATGAATCACGCGGAATACCGCTCCGGGGGACAAGCGCCGCAGATAGTGAAAAAGATCCGAAATCTCGGAAGATTTTTATTCATGCGACCCAAGATCTCCAGCCCGGAATTTCCGCTTCATTTATATCTCTTGGATTGATTATTATGCGACGGATCGGGAGAACGCGTGCAGCCAAAGAGAGAGAGATAAATCACCGTGCCAAAAATCTCAAAGATTTTTGAGTCTCTAGCTTTTCTGCAAGGCTCTAAAATCTCCGAGATTTTGGAGCTCCTAGGGAGTCCGCAGGAGAGATTTTAGAAATGAGCCGGAGAGGCTAGGCTACGCGTATTCGAAATGACCGCAAATTATCATATCGTAATATTGAGATATATAAAGATTTATAGAAGAAGAAATATATAATATTCATTCTCTCTTTTAACGATATTTATGGGAATATAAGATTATAAATGAATTAAAGAGAAAATATCTATCATTATTATCATTTATCATATCTTATGATTTCTAATGAAGATGCCTAGATATATAATAAGAAGATATATTATAATCATATAATTTTCTCAAAAGAGAAATTAAAAGTCTAATATAAATAAAATATAGAAGCCCTTGAATATTCTTCCTATAGATTCTTCCTAATTCAATATATTCTTAAGAGAGATATCTCTCTAGGATATTTATCCTTCCTTATTCCTGACCTCATCATTCAATATAAATCTATTAAGAATTCAATAAATCTCTCATGAATTTCTATAAATATTATTCATATATCTTTCTCCTAAAATCTATTTTGATATCTTTCTCATGATTTATGCCTATTATAAAAATATTTCAAAAAAGATATATAAGAATTCAAATTAGAATATAATTTGGACTAGAATATATATCATTGAATTCAATTCAATAGCAAATATCAATCATAATAAATGAGAATCAATGTATTATGAAAAGATAATTCATATTCCTATATTCTACGATCTCTCTTCATTTTATATAAAATTCCTAATCAAGTCATGTTCAAGCTTTAAATTATTTTTTTCCCATATATCCGATTATTTCCAATTCTTTATTTTTCGATATATATAATTCTTATTTTCCGTATTTCTATATTACCATATTAGAGTGGTCTTAGTATTTATAGCAGCGGAGTATCATCATTAAAAAATATCCGTAATATTGAACGAACTAATAAAGAAGAAAAAAATACGTAGAATTCCAAATCGTACGTCTTTATAATGCGATATCCCAAATCCTATATAGGTCTCGATATTTTGAAATTAAGAATTCCCAGGTTAGCAGTTATTAAAGAATTATTTATTTAGAGGCATTAATAAATCATTCAAATTAATCTTATAAGAAGCACGTTCCCATCTCGAGGCATTCCTAAAAAAATATATTTATAGATTAGAGGTCTATCTTCCTTATTATGTAAATCCCTACGCACATTTCCCTCTACAGATATATACAAATTTTAATTTCAATTCGAAATCCGAAGCATAACGTATTTCATGAAATATCATCTATATATTATTTATTCTAGAAAAATATCATCAAATCTTTCTAGAAGAATCTATCGTATCAAAAATTCTTCTTATTCGCCACTAACCTACCCATTTCCGCATTCTAAATCCAGATTTATATCCCCTAATTTTCTATATTTCCGCATTTATAGCCCCTTATTTTCCGCGTAATCGTATTTTCAAAATTATAATCTTTTATTTTTCAGTATTTATTTCAGAAATTGTAAATATTGAAAATTAAACTAAATAAATATCTCAATATTATAGCATAATCATTTACGGTCATTTCGACCGCGCGCGGCCTAGCCTTTCCAGCTCACCTCTAAAATCTCTCTTGCAGGCTCCCTAGAAGCTCTAAAATCTCGGAGATTTTAGAGCCTTTCAGAAAAACTAGAGGATGTAAAATTGCCGAGATTTTTGATACGAGCGGCGCGACCAAAAATCTCGGAGATTTTTGATCGCGCGGCTGCCCCCCTCCCCCCTGGCCCCGGAGCGGTTTTTCGCGTGATTTTTCTCTTTCTTTGGCTGCGTGCGTGGCTGTTCGATAGAACGTACAAGCCTAGGATATTCGCATAATAATTAGTCCAAAAGACAATCTGGAACTCTGGGCTGGAGCTCTGGGGAGGAACAAAAAGCTTTCGAGATTTCGAATTACTTCTTTCTTTTTAGTCAATTGCAGCTCTTGCCCTTGGAACGGTGTTCCGCGTAATTCATCTCGCTCTTTGGCTGCATACGGCTGGTCGGCAGAACGTATAGACCCGAGACGGAGTAGGTTGGCCGCGTCTGTCTACGGGCATTCATGCGCTTCTTTGATCCGCCGCGCCGCACGAACAAAAATCTCTCGAGATTTCGTATCCTTTCTTTCTCTTTGGCTGTTTGCGTAGCGGCGCTACAAGTATGGAATTGGGGATTACTAAAAGTCGAGGTTGCAGATACAAAGATGTTGAAATCTGAAGCATAAAAATATCAGAAAAATATGTTCGGGTTTGATTAAATATTGGAAGCGTTCAGAAAATACATCCCCCTTTCTCATTCCCGCCTGTACCATATCCCCGCAATACAACCACCTCCTTCAGCCTCTCAAAGATGTATTGGGTAAAGCGGGGTCTCCTTGGGGGGGGGGTACCATATGTATATATCTATATATGTATGTCTGTATATATATATATCTGCATATATATTCGTCGTCTCCCCAGCAGCTGCTCATTATTTGAATACGCTCTGTATAAAACTAAGCTTCTTGATTGCGTTACCGATTGCGCTACTGCTCCGGAGAATCGCGAGATCACCGGCCATCCAGTTGACTGAGTCGCCTTCCATGCAGCCAGAGAAGCACATGTCCAACCACGTTGTTACCAGCTGGTGCCTTTCTATCTGGGCCTGTCTTGCAGCCGCTTCTCTGACCTTCATTCCCCATTTATCTGGAAACTGGAGCCTCTCATCAGAACTGAAGTTTCAATGCTGGGGACTCTGCCATCGCTGCGAGCTCTTCATTTGCCCACTGCACCTGTACTCCATCTTGTCCGACTGGTTGCAGCAGCAAATCAGCGGGCAACAGCATGTCACTTGCGCCTTGTAGTAAAGAGCATAGCCTGACAAAGTGCCAGCCTAGGATGGCATCTTCATCTGACACAAACCTGGTAAGGGCAGCCGCATCTGGGATCAAGACCACCGTGAAGCCCGTGATGAAACTCCGAAGTCGCGATCCAAGCGAAGACTTTGGCTTCACCTTCTTCGTACAATGAAAATGTATTGGCAAATGACCGATTCTTCTTTGCTGACTACGGCAACATCCAGCACCAGTTGTCAGACATCTGCCCCTGCCTGCGGCTTTACATCGGTCGACACCTCAGAGAAAGTCCTTCTTGCCGAGCTTAAAAGTGGCCTGAACAAGGGCTGCAGCGATGCAAGTCAGTTTTCAATCGAAACGATGCCGGAGAGCAGAGTGCATCCAAGCTGCAGTCTGGACAACCTGCAGGCGTGCTTATTCAACCTGGCAGACGACAATGCCACGTGATAATTGTCATGGGCTTCTGGGAGCCACGTCCCCAAGCACGAATAGAAACAAAGACAAACTCAGTCGCCAGCGCACTTGTCATGATGATCGAGGCTGAAATACTCTAATCGATTCCTTGAGCCACCAGTCCGGCCTTGACCATGCAGCAACCTCGACATGCCTGCTCAGTGTCACAACCAACTGTGCAATGGACCAGGATGTATGTTCGATTGCAGCCATCAAGGCTCTAAATCATTGGCGGGCCGGCAGAGTCCCAGATTTGCTGCCGTCCCGCTTGAAAAGGTTGCACTGTACAGTACAAGCTCACGAGAAGTTTCCAACCTGCCAAAGCTTCCAAGCAATTAAGGCTGTTCATGTCAGAACATGTTGAACCTTGGATGCTTGAAAGAATTCGCAATAGTGAGTTCAGATGCTAGGCCCGGCCACGCATGTGTGCAGGGCTGATCCACGTAAGGGGAACTCTTGTTCTGAGACAGCCCTGATTGGATGTCCACAGCAAAACTTATTGCGCGCACATGAAACCCATGCAAGGCTTTCTCGCAGTGATGCTACAGTCGGTGCTACGTGTCTGCTGAGGGATACTTTGTCTCACCGGACTCCGAGACTCTGAGGGGCGGGCTGCATGCGCGGTGGAGAAAACCAATGCGCCCATTATGCTGAGCACCAATACTACGGGGCCGATATTGTCCTGTTGAAATCTGTTGAACACAGACATCCAGTCATCACAAGCCATCGAGGCAACTCAATAAGACTCCTCGTAGCGCATGTCCATCTTGTAATCCAAACCATCTGCCCGCCAGTTGAAGACATGCACTGACCAGGCCTCAGCACGCGGATCAGCTGCTGGACAGCACACTTTCAGCACGAGTTGGACGTGCCAACTGAGACTCGGCAACAAGAAAAACGGCTGCCAACACCAGCAGCCGCCCTATGGTTGCGTGCGCTGCCTCCGCCACAGGAGCATGACAGAATCTTAAACTCAAAAGCCAAGGAGGTTCAAAGCCATGCATTGACTGCTCAGGATTGTTGCATCGATAACTCTCAACAGCATACTTGTTCCAGAAATAATACACTCCTCCTCCGAGATGTGGAGCATCAGAACACCTCACGAAGTCATGAAGGGTACTGTGCTGGAATGGGCTCCCAAGCAAGCATACATGTCCATAATGTATATATCTATATATATATACCCTCAATAACAATTATATTGTTTCTTATGAATATTCTGCAGTTGTACATTCAACACGAATGATTTGTCTGATACCGACGCAGATCAAGGCCTGAAGCAGCCAGAATAGTGGCGAAGTGGATCCACTCCAGAAATGTACGTTCGTTCGAATACCTTGATTGAGAAGCACATGGTCTTTACAACATTTGAAGATTGTCTGCAGTTAATCTTCATCAGGTATAGCGAATGCCAAGATGCAAAGTTTTGGGCTGGACTGCAACAATTGCCCTTCTTGTGGGCTTGTCCGGCTTCTCCTGCCAGGCATGAGGCGATGCATCAAGAAGCCTCGGAGCCCCCAATGCCAACAAAAACGCCAGCTGCGAGAATTACGAGACAAGCGTCGCTGTTTTTTTGGACGCCGCGTCCCATCAATCCTGAACGTCACATGAAGTCTGAAGTCTGCCAAGGCGTGCGTAAGGATTAAAGCAACAGCAAGGTGTAGGAGCCATGCGCTGTAGAAGGCTTTCCTCCGTCTGAACAAATCATCTTGCTTCATGACTCTCACGAGGGAGACCCAAGAGCACCACCTTTGGCGCCGCCGCACTTCCTGATAGCAGTGGCCTAAGTTTGACTGGATACTCGCCACGGAGACCATGCAAGACTCAAGACTGTTGTAGACTGGCTCAGTTCATCCCCTGGTATATAAAGAGTCGACCCAACTGCACACTAGACAGCGAAAGTCAAACCATTATGGGACTGATTTACTCATTGTAGCTGCATGCATATTCTAGATTTTCTGGTTTCAACTCATGCAGGTTAGGGCAACACCTTGTCATTGGTGCACAATTCAGGCAACTCTTCTGCTCAGGGACGACAGCATTTGAGAGCATGTCTTGCAAACAGCCCTGCTGCTATGCCAGCGGCGCGTTCAGCTTGCCAGCATCATCAGCTGGCACCAGAGGCTTCGGATCCTCAAAAGGAGATACACCTGGCGGCCGCAAGTCGCAAGGCAAATGTTTGAGGTTGTCGTTTGTCCTCTCGGGCCTCTCCGGGCCAAAGCTATCCGGGTCATAGCCATCTGCGAAGCTTTTCACGGGCGCAAGCTGTGCACAAATTCCATCGCCTTTCAGAAGAAAACGCTTGGCCCCTAGTTGCCTCTTGCTCTTGCTGGGGTGTAGTTCCAAACCTGCAGAAGCCCCGCACGAGTTAGAAATGATTCGTGCTGCTTGGCATCTCCTCCTCTAGGTCCCAGACTCATGCAGCAATCGCTCACTGCTAGCTGACCACCTGCACGAGTTTAGTCACGAACAAAATGAGCACGGAAAATACATGGAAATTACTTGCAAGGTTTTGCAAGGGACCTGTGTGGCGCATCATCACTGCCGCCTTCAAGCCAGGAAGCCATCGGAGTCGATCTAGAAATGTCATGTCTCTAAGGGGCTGGCTCTTGACACTTCCTTCAGAAGCATCTTGCGACCTCAGCATCCACTGTTGCCTTTGCATTTTTCACATTTGAGCTTCCATTGCCTGGGCAAACCCCAGATCTAAGCAACCACCATCTGTTCGAAGGGTGCCATGATATGTCCAGCCAGCACGCAGCCCAATTGACTTGAGGCCAGGGACACGTGAGCCTCGTTTTCCTCATTGTCTTGAGGATCAGAATAAACCTTGGCAATAAAGGATTCGTGTAGGGCAGTCATTCAATGATAAGTAAGTAGCGACCCTGCGAGGCCTCAAACAGGGGACCTCTCAAAGTAAGCTTTCGGCATTCGCGTACCAATGCGGCATCTGAAGCTTCAGCCTGAAAAATGTTGAAGCATCGCAGAAAACATTGCCTGCCACATCTACAAGCACGAAGGGTTCCGGCCCCAAAGCATGGAAGCGAGCTATGGCATGAGCTCCCTTCGAGAAGCCATTTGCCTGCGAGTATGTCATCCAGCTAGGTAAAGCCGAGACTAGAAGCTAGCTGGGCCTGCACCACACTTCCATCTTCGAGAAGACCGAGCCACCTGTTCGAGGACTTGCTGCTTTGGGATCCTAAGCACCTGTTGCACGGCCTTGGCCACGAAGACTCCTTCAAGCCGGGCGGAAACTTGACGGTTATGACCTTCGGATGATGCGCACTCTCCAACGCCTTATTGCGTGCGAAGGGAAACGAAGTCCAAGGTTCGGGCCATGTACGGAAAAAAATCAACGGAAGTAGGGCTTCCCGAATCCCATTCCTGCAGAACAGCTGGCGCATGACTGACTCAAAGCTCAACAACATCTTGGGCACACCTTGATCTTGCCAAAGCGCACATCCTCGTCCAAGACAACCACTATGCCGCCTCAATGCAACATCTACGCGAATGCAAAGGTGAAGACCAGTGCATGTCACAACCGAGTGTCTCACAATCATCTTGCAAGATGGACCGACTGTAGCTTGCCTGTTTGCCCGACAGGGCCATACGTTGCTGCTGTGCTGCTTTCAAGTCCGGGCTGCACCTCTGCCATGGGAATGAGCGTCTTCCCGAAGGTCTTTATAACCTGACGGTCTATGCCAAACCACAAAAGGCACAAACGAGACAAAAGGACGCAGCTCAAGGCTCAAGGACAGCCCTACACAGCGCCAACCTCCTGCATCGTGGTAGTCCCCACCAGCTTGTCAGCCGGAGGATCCTGATTATCGATGATCGATGATCGATGATCGATTGGCGCTTCTTCGACGGGAGAAGCATCCGAAAACGCAAGGTGGCTCGTAAAACATTTCCCGAGCACCACTAGCGAAGGGCAGATTCAGGACATCCCGTTGCTAATATCCAACGCAAGTGGGAGAGCTATTGCAACAACTTGACTTGAGAGCCACGGGCTGGGACGAAAGCTCGACAATGGACAGATCGTGGGACACTGGTTTGGGACGAGGAACTCAAAAAACTGCTTCAGAAGATAGCTGCTTTGCATGCACCAAGTTTTCCCTTGCATGGTACTTACTAACATGGAGATGGCCGCATGATCTGCCCTCGACATGCTCCATGAATCCTCTTGATGAAAAACAGCCTACATGCTGCGTCTGCCTCCCTCAGAGCCATCCAGCGTTTGCCGACAATGAGCTCAAGACACGCCCAA